GTAGGTGGGACACAGAGGCTTTGCTGCAAATGGTAGGGTGATGAAGTGTGGTAAGACATGTACTCATAATTAGGTACCTGGATATCCAATTAACCCAGGTATTTGGATGCTAATGGAATCTGCTATGGTTCTCAACTCACCAGCATGGGATCTGGTTAGGAGATGTAAAGAGGAAAATTACACATATAAGATGAGCTTTTTTGCTATGGAGGATATGGAATAGGAGCTAACTCTAGATGACATTTTGCAGCAAAGAGGAGTCTTCGAGATGTTGGTGCTGCACGACGCCTCAAAGGGAGACAATACAACATTTATGCCTTCACGCTCCAGCAGCTTTTGAGGTATGGCACTATTTCACAACAGCTTGTGGTTCCAACAAGAGAGGAAATACATCACAACAAGCTTGTTTACTTTGGTGGAAAAAAGAGGACATCACCTCTCATGCTGCTGTGGAGCTACCACCTCATGCGAGAAATTTATAAGATAGTAATGTTATGAACATCACCCAGATAAGAACTAAGGAAACTACTTGTAATTACAAGAGCTTGTTTTCCCTGGAGTGAAGGGAATGGTGCATGCAACAACACTCTGATCATGAAAGAACATTGCAGTTTTTTCTATGGGAGTGAAGCGCAATAATAGCATACTAACATGAAGTAGTGCAGTTTAAGTTTTAGATAAATCTTGTAATGGAATAAACTGTGATTTCCTTGGAAACTAAAGTTATAGCAGTTTGGTATGACAGATCATAAGCAGACTGATCCTATACACAACAACACAAGATAGTGAACAAGAATATTCTTTAAACAAGAAAAGGCCAAAACAGAACATCAAGAGAAAATGAAGAACCTAATTTAACACAGAAACACTATAGGAAGCAACAACAGAAGCAGCAAAATACTTTGGATAAAAGAGAATAGAAGTGCTGCAGATATTAATAATTGGAATTTTTTTCCATTTTGAGCTAAAAATAATTTCCCAAAGGATTGTTCAAAACTGTTCATTGGTATTGCGATTTTCTCTATAACGCTTTGCCCTCATACCTTGGTATAGTTGGGTTTATTGACTTCTGACTAAAGGCACAATCAGTCAAACTAATACTACTGCATAAATTCTCAGTCATCTACTTAAAAAAATTTATACAGCTTTCTGAAGAATGTCTACAAATACAGGTTAACATTAATATTAGCTGTCTCTGGCTCCAACATTTGGTGGACAACCAAAAATAGCTGGTCATCCTTTGCAGCACAACCTTATCGTCAGGTACATGTTGTTGTTGGTAAAATGTGTACTCATAATTAGGTATCATTTTTTTTTTTTGATAAGATAAAAGTTTATTAATAAAGGTACCAAGAAGGTACTCAAATTACAACCAAACAAGACAGACCCTATAACAATCTCTAGTTACATATTTCCAAGTGAGTCTAAAAATTACATATACTGATCAATACTCTCTAGAATACTCCTTTTACACCAAAAAAGCGGATTTTGCATACAAAGGTTCCTGACTCTAGAGATGTGGTTCCTTTTATTCTCGAAACAAGCATTATTCTTCTCTGTCCAAATAGTCCAGAAGACGCATAAAGGGATTGTTCTCCAGATCTGCTTTTGTATCCTTCCAATCCTCTGCCCGTTCCAGCTCTCCAACAAGCTCTTAACATCTGACGGCATAACCCAAGCTACACCACACGTATTTAGGACAAGCTCCCAGCATTGCTTAGCAAACTTACAATGAATAAAAAGATGATTGACTGATTCCAAATCCTCTTCACATAGATAACATCTGTTGCTTAAAGAAAAACCTCCCCTTTGCAAATTGTCTTGGGTTAAGCATGCTTTCCTATAGACAATCCACCCAAAACAGGCTACCTTAACAGGTGCTTTGGTCTTCCATAGTATTTTCCAAGGCCAATTTGACTCAAAGTGTTCAGATTGTTTCTGAAGAAGGTTATAGCAGCTTTTAACAGAGAACTTCAATTCATTGTTCGCTGTCCAGATCATAGAATCCTCTTTATCCTCTTCTACCATTGCTGTACCCAGTAGATGTAAAAATTGCCCCACCTCCTCCATCTCCCAATCATTAAAGTCTCTTCTGAATCTTAATTGCCACCCATTAGAGGAGTAGAAATCAGAAACACTACCATCTCTATTAAAAGAAATATTGAATAGAGTTGGGAATCTGTTTTTCAAGCTTACCTCCCCCAGCCAAACTTCAGACCAAAATTTTATTTTGGCACCATTTCCCAGTTTCAATTTTGTGTGCTGCTGAAACTCAGTCCACAATCTGCTTATGTTACTCCAAATACTACCTCTTGAAGCACTTTGGGCAATAGGAGGGCACCATATATCCTTCTTCACATACTTTGCATTTTTCAAATTCTTCCAAGTTTTTTTCCTTACCATCATTATACCTCCACAACCATTTAAATAATAAACTCTTATTATGTATTCTCAGATTTCTAACCCCCAAGCCTCCCCCTTTCTTATCAATCATTACCCTCTGCCATTTGACCAAATGAAACTTCTTTTTATCTGCCATGCCTTCCCATAGGAAATTACTTCTTAGGACATTTAATTTCTTCTCAACATACGCAGGCAATTGAAACATAGACATTAAGTATGTTGGAATTCCATCCAATACACTGCTTCCTAAAGTAAGTCTACCCCCAAAAGATAGATATTGCTTTTTCCATGGAGTCACCTTACTGTTACATCTATCCAGTACCCCTTGCCATATTCTTTGATTATTCTTCTTAGCACCCAACGGTAGCCCCAAATAAGTTGTAGACAATTGCTCCACCTTACATCCCAACACCTCCGCTAAATCTTCTATACAATTGTCTGCATTAATACTAAACAAGCTACTTTTTGACAGATTCACCCTCAATCCTGTCACTGCTTCAAAAATCAATAGAATCCCTCTCAGATAGAAGAATTGTTCTCTATTTGCTTCACAAATAATCAGTGTGTCATCTGCATACAATATATGAGAAATGTTACATTTTACCCCTCCTCTTCTTCCAACCTGCAACCCCCTGATTCACCCTAATTGCTCAGCTTTTTTTAGCATTCTGCTAAGTATTTCCATGATCAAAACAAATAGATACGGGGATAGAGGGCCCCCCTGCCTTAGCCCTTTGGAAGAACTAAAGAAAACTTGAGGACTTCCATTGATGAGCACTGAAAATCTTATAGTGGATATACAATATTCAATCCATTTCAACCATTTTTCACCAAAATTCATCTGTCTCATGATACATATTAAACAAGCCCAATTGACATGATCGTATGCCTTCTGAAGGTCCAATTTACAAAGTACCCCTTGCCTTTTATTTCTCACCAAGTATTCCACACATTCATTTGCAACCATAGAAGCATCAACTATTTGCCTCCCCCTAATAAATGCATTTTGATTATCGGAGATTAGCCTTCCTATCACCAATTTAAGTCTTTCTGCCATCAATTTAGCAATAATTTTATAGACACTCCCCAAAAGACTAATTGGCCTGTAATCTTTAATTTCCACTGCATCCTTTTTTTTTTTTTTTTNCTTTTTTTTTTTTTTTTGGAATTAAAGCTATAAAAGTGGCATTGAAACTTTTAGCAAAGTTTCCTTCTTGGAAAAATAGTTTCACCGTTTCCCAGACATCTCTCTTGACTGTATTCCAGCATTTCTGAAAAAAATGAAGATTGAATCTATCTGGACCTGGTGCCTTGTCTCCTTTAAAGAGTTTTATCACCCAGATTAGAACTAGGGAAACTACTTGTTTTCGCTGCTATCTACCTTTATGATCATTCACTATAAACCAAATACATAAGTACCAGGCTTGATGACTTGGTTTTTTTTCTTTAAAAAATGTTATAGAAATTAATGCTGCAAAGGAAGGAGTAAAAAAAGCAAATTAACTTGAGTGAAGAGAATGGTGCATCTGCAACAACACTCCAATCTTGCAAGTAAGTTGCAGTTATTTCAATGGGAGTGAAGCGCAATAGTAGCATACTAACACTGAAACAAAGCAAAGCTATAGTTTCAGTTTTAGATAAATCTTGTAATATAATAGTGTGTGATTTCCTAGGAAACTAAAGTTTTAGCAGTTTGATATGACAGATCATAAGCCGGCTGATCTTATACACAACAAGAAAACATAGTGAACAAGAATATTCTTTAAACAAGAAAAGGCCAAAACAGAACATCAAGAGAAAATGTCAAACAGATAAAAGAAACAGGACATCAACAAATGGGCAAAAGCAAAGTAGGGCATCTTTCATAATTGAACTCTTCATTATAAACAATAAGAATGAACTCTAAGAGTCACAGGGACCTTGAGAAAAAGACACCACCTACACTGAATATGTGCAGACCTTTGACTATTCCACTAGTATATGTTCTTGATAACCTGCCCATCAAAGTCAGGCAGATGAGATTTCTTCCCTTAATTCCCACCTTTTTGCTTACTTGCCTAACCACCAAATCAACCCCACCCCCCCAAAAAAAAGAGAAATAGATAAACGCAATCAAAAGTTGGAACTAACCCTGCCTCCAGGGATTTGATTCAGCGGTAAGGACGCAGAACTTAAAATGAAGGTCAGACATATGTCACGAGTTAAAACCCGGTAAATGATTGAAACTTGGTATGTAAGTGGGAGCAAGGTAGAGAGACGAGCCCATAGCCCTCAGAGTTCCGGACCTGTAAGCACATTAGAGTTAGGCCAGCTAACACACAGGGTATTCTCGGTTTTGAAAGAAAAAAGAAAAATTGGATTCTATCGCTCCTCTAAAGAAACAAGGCTTGTAACCTCCTAGTGTAACTCCTCGATGCAGTGCACTGCACTAAACAATCACTATGCCGACTACAAGAAACACGACCAAGCCAGTACAACATTTTCATCTTAATTCTCCACGAACAAAGTTATCCCACAGTACATCTTTCATATTGCACCTCCAATTTTGTAGATATAAGACCTTGCAAAGTACAAGAATAAAGTGAATGATAAAACACTCAAAAAAGAAGCAAATAAAAGTAATCAAGATATGCTCGGTTCAAGTTATCTGAAAACCAACTATCATGACCGTATTTGGCAGTGGCTTTCACAATAAAAGAGATGAGGAAACTGCTCAAGAAGTTACCTACACCAATTAAGCTGAGATACAGAGCAATACCTACACTTTTCAGCTCCTCGGGCACCTGATCATAGAAGAACTCCTGCAGACAAATCAAGGTGAATACATCAGATATGCCATAGAGTATATACTGAGGTACTAACCACCAGATGCTCATGGGAACAGTTACCATCGGATTGTTGAAAAGCCCATTCTCTAGAGCAGTTTGTATACGATACTCTCAACTATGGCTGCAGTTATAATGACAACTATAGACACGAAAATTCTCGTTCGAATTCTTTGAAGCATTGTGATGCCCGAAGGTTTCCTAGTCACAGCGAGGAGCCAAAATACAGTCATATATAGGAATAGGGAGCACTATAGAGATGGCAATGAAACATTGCAAAGAAGCTTGTAACACCTTGCTTGGTGAACAAAGTGGATGTCTGTAAAGACACTATGGCATATACTTCAGGTGCAAGCAATGCTGTAGAAAGACAACTAAAAGAGAATGTGTTAGTTCTGTCTTTGCTGTGTGAATCTTTGGTTGAAAGAATAGCATAACCCTATAGAAAAGACAGCTGATGAAAAGATCTCAATGTACTGAAATTAATACAACAAAAAGAAATTACCTGAAGTGAAGGCAATAGTGCCTTGGCAATAACTCTCCAAATAATCAAAGTAAACTGCAGTTGGTTCTATATGAGTGAAGAACAATATTAACATGAAATAATGCAAACTATAGTTTAAGTTTTAGATAAATCTTGTAACGTAATAAACTGTGATTTCTTGGAAACCTAAGCTTTTAGCAGTTTGATAGAAAGATCATTTGCAGACTAGTCCTATAAACAACAATAAAAAAAGTGAACAAAACTATTTAAAACAAGAAAAGGCCAAAACAGAACATGAACAACTGGGCAAAAGCAGAGTACAACTTTCATAATGAAGCTTTTCATTATAAACAACAAGAACTCTAAGAGTTAGAGAGACCTTGAGAAAATGACAACATCATCTACATTGCATAAACCGATGATGAAAAAATTTGTAGGTGTTCCTTGACCAACATACAGATACCTATTTTTTAACTCTTTCATTCCACTTCACCCAGATCACATACTGTATCTATTTTCTCCTCCACTTTAAACTGCTAAGATTTCCTCATCCTGTTTCTGAATTTGAATGTTCCATGTCGCTTTTCTGAATCTGTCTTTAAGTTTAATGCTAGAAGTTGGAGAAAGATTTAGAGAGTCCATCGAATAGAAGCTACTCCGGAGAGAATATGACTTTATAAAATTGTTGGTAAGAAGAGTATTAGGGAAGAGTAAAAGATGCTGAAAGAGCAAATACAGTGACAGCGAAGCAACTTAAGGTAAAATAGAGTGCACAAATGAAGTTTACAAGAGAACATTCCATAAGTTAGCCATTTAGCCAACAAGACATGCAAAAATGACAACTGTCGAAATCGATGTTGTTAATGGAGAGTGAACAATATTACTTTCAGATGCCAAAAATTGTATAGCTCAACATCAGCAGTCAATGCATTCTGTTTTCCTTACTTAAGAGTCATCTTCAAGCCTCCTCCACTCGTTGCTACAAATGGAACTTTTTGTTCAGGTACTAAATTAATTTGACTTCTCTTATTTGCTGCTGTTGTCTTACTTTTAGCAGCTTGATATTACAGATTATAAGAAGAGTGATCCTATACCAACAACGCAAAAATAGTGAAACAACAAAATTCTATAAACAGGAAAACACAAACAGAATATCAAGAGAAAAATGTCGTACAGATCAAAGAAACTGGACATCAACAAATGAGCAAAAGCAAAATAAAAAAGAGCATCTTTCATAATTGAACTTTTCATTATAAACAATAAGAATTGAACTCTAAGAGTCAGTGAGACCTTGAGAAAATGAAAACATCATCTACATTGCACAAAATCGATGATGAAAAAATGTGTCGGTTGTTATTTTAACACCAACATATCTAAATATCCCTAAGATTTCAGAGATATCCCAACTAAAAGTACCCTAATCTAAAAAAAGTTATCTTGGATTTCAAAGAAACTCGAGAATAAAACATACCCTTTCCAAATATTTACCAAGCTTCAATTTTCCAGAATTAGTAAAGCAAGTCACTTTGCACTAAACCATGACCCCCAAAATCCAATAGAGAATCCCAATCAACTTCCACCTCATCACCTTCCTGATAAGAGCATTCTTGATTTTCCATGTTCAGCATTCCAAAGAATCCATCAGAATCAGTTTGAACCAACATTCCATCCTTTGGTTCTAATTGTTCCACAGAAAAAGCATCAGACGAGGTACTCTCCAACATCATAGGATTGTTCTTAGAGAAAATCATAGTACTCTGTTGTGAGGGTTCTTGCAAGACACGGTCAATGAACCTCTTATATTCTACAACAGTAGCAATACTGTTTCCTCGGATTTCTGATCTGGGGTTCTTCTTAATTGCACAGATTACAAATTCTTTTGCTTCGTTAGATTTCAACTGCTGAAGAAGAGAGTCAGCCAAAAAATACTCCATCATCAACCAACGGCCATTCAAAGAAGAGTCTTTCTTGTTCTTGTAACTCAAGCTTCTTTTATACCCAATAATGAGACTCTCGTCCTCATCAAGAATCTCCTTGCCTTTATTCTGCTGTGTCCAAGTCCCATTAGAGGTAGTTCTGTTGAATCTGGCATCAGTGGGCTTCTTCTTCTTCAATTGAGTGAGGAAATAATGGGTTTTCTTGGTGTCTCCAATTAATTGCCATGGCTCTTTGCGGTAAACATCTGCAAAGTAAATTAATCCTTCAGTTGGCAAGCATTTTCCAGCCAAAAACTTCAGCAATTGCATTATCAATTCAGTATCACAGGGACGAAATTGACCATTCTTCTCCATGGATTCTTTCTTATGGATTCCCTTCTTTGTTGAAGACTGAAGAAAAATGGCACAAAACACTTTTTAGAATGCGAATGAACAAACACGAATAAGAAATAGCGTATCTTAAGTTTGAGGAGTTCAAGGTGGGTTTAGGAACATATAAAGACACATTCTTATTCCACTTTTGGAAACTAATTTTACAGCTGTGAGCGTGTGACTCAAGGGCGGCTCTAGGGTAAGGCAAGTGAACCCTTGCCTTCGGCCCAAAATAATTAAGGCCCCAAAAATAGAAAGTATTACTATATTATTATATAATATATACTTCATAATTTATATTCATATAATTATTAATAAAAGATTTTAAATTTTAATAATTTTTAATATTTGGTAGACGTAAAATTGGGTGAGTTAATTGGAAAAAAAATTTCTCACTAAATTAAATAATATATTTATCTTCTCATCAATTTTATTTTTCTTTATGTATAATCTTTTTTCATGGTTCTTACGATTTTACTTTCTAATTTCAACTCCGATTCTCTAAATTAACTATTTCTTTTGGTCACATTTGATTGAATCACATATCAGAAAGCAAGTTCTTTTGTGTCTCATCATTTTTAACTAAGAATTCCCCGAGGCAAATGTCGCAAGGTTCAAAACATAATGAATAATGGGCTCACCCTTTACCATTTTCACTTAAGGAAAGAATTCAATTCCATATGACGCGCGCCTAACTTATACATCATGAATTGTGCTCTCACCACTGTATCAAAATCATGTAGGTTTTTTTTGTGTCTCAATATTATACAAATTTTATAAAGACGTTTCAGGGTCTTTTTAATATATTTTGATTTAGGCCACCAGTTTTGTTGAGCCGCCCCTCATTGACAATCAACAATTATTTACAGACTACTGCCCTACTATAAACGTACTGTTCAACCAGCTTCATTCACATTTGGTAACTGAATGACAAACTCGTTGTGTTTAATGCTCTTGTCATTGTTGCCTTATTTTAAGTGAGACTCTATAAATTTTATTGAGAATGTCATGGGCGGATAAGTGGCTTTAGTAGGAGACTAGTAAAGCCTTGATTTAGGTCCCCAAAATTTTTAATAATGGATTTTATAACTTTATTTCAAATTAGACAATATTAATGTTTGTAGAAAAAATAATAAAGTACATGTGATGACCCGGCCGGTCATCTTAAGAATTAAAGCCCCGATCCCCTATTAACTGCTTTCCCTAAGTTTATTTCTATTATTTTGATTTGCCGGGATGTTCGGTTTTGAGTTTCGGAGAGTTTTGGGACACTTAGTCCCTAAATGAGAGCTTAAATGTTGGAAAATTGACCGTAGTCGGAACAGTGTGAAGACGACCTCGGAATGGAAAACCGATGGTTATGTTAGCTTCGTTGGGTGATTTCGGGGTTAGGAGCGTGTTCAGATTGTGTTTTGGAGGTCCGTAGCTAATTTAGGCTTGAAATGCCGAAAGTTGAATTTTTGAAGTTTCCAGTCCGATAGTGAGATTTTGATCCAAGGGTCGGAATGGAATTCCGGAAGTTGGAGTAGCTCCATAGTGTTGAATGTGATGTGTGTGCAAAATTTCAGGTCATTCAGACGAGGTTGATAGACTTTTTGATCGAAAGCGTATTTTGAGGATTTTGGAGTTCTTAGGCTTAAATCCATGGTTAATTCGAGGTTTTGATGTTGTTTTAGGTGTTTTAAGGATTGAGACAAGCTTGAATAAGGTATTAGATGATATTTGTGCTTTTGGTTGAGGTCCCGAGGGCCTCAGGGTGATTTCGGATAGTTAACGAGAAGTTTGAGGAAATATTGCAGCTGCTATATTTTTTGCTGCTTCTGGTATTTTCGCATCTGCGGTTTGGGGACCGCAAGTGCGGCGCCGCAGAAGCAGATTTTGGTATTTTCTTTAGGAACCGCAGAAGCGGTGGAATTACCATAGAAGCGGTACCGCATCTGCGGATTGGGAGTCGCAGATGCGGAAGCTGGCTCTTTAAGTGAAAGTCGTAGATGCGACATTTGTTCCGCAGAAGCGGGACCGCAAATGCGGAAACTGCTGGGCATTATTTTAAAAGGGGTTCCGCGACTTGGGGGTTTATTTCCACCATTTCTAATCGTTTTTGGAGCTCTTTGAAGGGGATAGAAGAAGGATTCGAGGGGAATCGCTTGAAGGTAACATCTTCATAACTCGTTTTTATGTGATTAAAGACCTAATTAGTGATGAAAATTTTGGGGAAAATGGTTAATTAGGGCTTGAGTTTAAGAGACCTTTAAATGAGGATTTGAGGGGTCATTTGGACTCCGAATTTAGTGTTCTTGTTATGTACACACTCGTGAGAGTACGAGGTTTCTGAAAATATAAATTTCACCCGATTTCGAGACGTGATCCTGAGGGGCGTTTTGGTCATTTTGCGTATTAGCTTATAGTTTAATTGTAGAATCAGTTACTTGAAGTGTTATTTACATTATGCAATTAAATTGGATAGATTTGAGCTATTTGGAGTCAAGTACTCGTGGCAAGAACGTGGTCTCAGGTTGATTTTGAGCCGGTCCGAGGTAAGTGGCTTGTCTAACCTTGTGTGGGGGACCTTCCCCTTAGGATATGATATATTTGATAATTTAAATGCCTTGTATGTGAGGTGACGAGTGCGTACTTGAGCTAATTGTTGAAAATCTGGTTTTACTTTAAGTACTTCAATTGAGTTCCTTTTTTCTGTTTTATTCTACTTGCGAATTTAGCTTGTTGTTAGTTTAGAAAAGCATGTTTAGTTGACTTAATTGCCTATTTGCTTAAACTGCCTTAATTGCATTATGTGAAGCATGTTAGGCTAGAATTAACTGTTTGCCTTAGTACGAAATTAACATTTAATTGAATATTCGTGTGGTTGCTGCTGTGTGTTTTTAATTTGGGACTACGGGACGGAATCCCGGGAGATCCCCTGTGCGTATTTATGATTTGGACTGAGGTGCGGGATACCAAGAGATCCCTGGCACGTGTATTGAGGATACCAAGAGATCCCTAGCATATATTGAGGATACCAAAAGATCCTCGGGATACCAAGAGATCCCTTGTTTACAAGGAGGATACCAAGAGATCCTCGGGATACCAAGAGATCCCCCGGTTATCATCCCTGCTATGAGTGTTTTCTCCTTGTGGTTTGCCTTTATCTCTGTTTCCGTTATTGTACTCTTATCATTCTGTATAGATTTTTACTATAGATTCTCAATTTTACTACTTATCTTATCCGGTCATCTTATTATTTATTTAATCTTAGTAGGGCCCTGACCTTCCTCATCACTACTCGACCGAGGTTAGGCTTGACACTTACTGAGTACTGTTGTGGTGTACTCA